TTGGAGAAACTTCTTGAAGAAAGGCAATGCACAACTAACAACATGACACTTCACAGTTGACTGACTAGAATAGACTCAATAGTCAATAGAGTACTCAAAAGTAAAAAATTTAGCATTCAAACCTTTAGATTCTGTGAACCTTGTGATTTCTTCATTATTAAAACTTTAGAAGGCTCACAATATACCACGTAAAGTTTTCACTCAATTATCGTCTCCAAGTTTGGGAGCTTTATCTGCAGTTAATTCAGTTACCTCACACACCAATTGCTTAACGAGAACTAACAAGTAAACAGTAAACGCTAACCATCGTTCCCGCAACTTTGGCTGTTGCACACGATCGATTCTGCAAGTGAACCAGAGCTTTCTTGGGCTTCTAGCCAATCTGGATTTGGACTATTTTGGGGCAAATGTATAACATTTACGATTTACGTTTACGAAGGTCATTAGACCATTCTGTTGAATGCCAGTTACTAATAAATTTGTAATATAGAAGAATTTGTATATCATTTTTTTCAAATGAGTAGGTATATTGATGGTTGGTGTCCCTGTGGCCTGCTACCTTCTTTGTTTATGTTTTTCGTTAAGTTGGTAATCCTGATTGTAATGCTAGGAGTTTCCATGTCTCAGCTTATTGCATTAGTGGTCAGTTTTGTATTTGTTGATTGAATCATAGGCAGTTTTTCATGTATTTGTGAGTGAGTGTACATAGCGAAAATGTTATTCTTTGCGATTTCCATCAGGGTTGGCAATGATTAAATCAAAATGATTAAATCATGTGATTAAATCACTTGATTTTTTTATAAAAAATCATGATTTTTTTTATTTTTTCGATTTTTTTGATTTTTTTATTTTTTCATATATTTAAATATATTGAGTGGCAGTCTTTAATTTATATTGAGGTATTTTTATTCATGGTTTAGTATAAATGTACTATAAATGACAAATTGGTATATAAACTTGTTGCCTTTAGTGCGTATTAGGTTCCAATAAATTGAATGTTTTTGGTACAGAGGCATCAAGTGTGCAATACATTGTATGTAGCTTGCAGCTTAGCTAATTCTTATAAGGCTATAAGTAGTCTTTAACTACTTGACTATTTGTTATATATTGATTACAATATACAATTTAAATGTGTTAGCTAGCTTATACAGGGTGGGGCAGAACTGATTGAACAGTTTTGGGG